TGGGAGGGGGGATGGACTCACTTGAAAGCTCCTCCTGGTTGTGCAGTGAAAGCGCTTTGAAGACACAAAGCCACATCCTCAACAGAACATCTTGTGTTATCTAAGCCACAAAGTCTCCCCAGAGGTCCTGGGCCAGGCGCTAAGACGCGGACCAGCCAAGCACCAGGCAGGCAGCCTTCTCCAGAAACAAGCCACAAACGTGTACAGCACTTACGGCCCCACGTGGGTCAAGAGCATCACACAGCCAGCCTGGGGGTGGTGCCCAGAAGGGCTAATATGGCTCTGGCCCAGCCTCTCTTAGGAACCTGGGGCACCTGCCCACCTCCACCCTCTCCCCTGCTGGCCAGTGTCCCCTCCGCCCCCCTTCCTGCCCTCCCCCTTCTGCCCTCCCTCCGCTCCACCCAGCGCCTTCCTCCCGTGGGCCACAGTTGTGACAGTGAAACGCAGCTCGTTATCGGGAAGTTAAGCTGGCTGCTCAGTGTGCAGGAAGGCACACGAGGCCCAGCAGATGGTGGGGCCCCTCCAGGATCGGCCTCAAAGGTCACCGTCTGTCGCTGCCCACCCGCTCCAGCCTCTTCCACACCAATGGAGTCTCTCCTGCTGCTTTCAGGTCCAGCCACAAGCTGTGCAGTGACATTTCCTGTGGGCTGACTGTGTGCCAGGCACCGTGCTAGGCCTTCTCTGGACATTAACTCTTAATTCTCTCACCTGGCCTATGAGACCGTTATCATCCCCATTTGACAAATGAGGAAACACAGAGGCACAAACAAGCTAAACAATCCCCCAAGATGGCAAGGACTGGCCCAGCATCCAAGTTCTCAGTCACCATGCTGGAGAGCCTCCCCTTCTTCAAGCCTCAGCCTTTTTGCCTGCTTTAAATGATGAGGGACTCAAGGCAATGATTTCTAGATCCTTCTAGCTCTTATGAGCCTGGGATGTGAAAACTGCTTTCTTCCAAGGGCACTTAATATGTTCCTTCTCCCCTCAACAATGGCTGCTCTCAAGAAAATATCTTATTGGCTTATTCACGCTATGGTGTAAATGGCCTATATGGTGAGCTAACTCTGGTGGAATGAAGTTTCAAACCGAGGCCTGACTGTCTCCCGAACCTGGGCTGCCCCAACATAGCACTACACAAGCCACATCTCAGGCTTTAGGATGTCTTCCAAAAGGTATTCTTTACACCTATCAATATTCCCTGTCCCAGGAAAAGAGCCAAAATGAGGATAAAGGAAGGGGGTGGGAACAGGAAGTAAGGGATATAAGTTGTCAAGTCAGATACAAGATTTTTCAGAGTCAGGACTTCTGGTCCCCAATGAAGGCCTGGGTCCCACCTCCAACCCAGTTTACTCAGACAGGCGGTCTGGAAGGAGTCAGGCCTGGGAGCTGGGGACCTGCCTTCTGGCTCTGCCCTGTCACTTAACAGGGCTCAGATTCCACATCTAGACGAAGGGGACTTGGCCCTTCTAGCTCCAGTAGCTTGTTTTGCTCACACCCTGGCCCTGACTGCACCCCATTAGCTTTCACCAGGCAGCAAATCATCTCTAGTGTCCCCAAGCCCAGAGCTCTGAACCGTGCACAGGAAATTCACCTCTTAAAGGAAGGGGAGTTATAATCACACACTTTGGTGGAAGCTCCCAGCAGGCCCCACTTACTGGCCTTGGCAGACGGGGGTGCAGTGGTGCCCTTTGAAATAGACACCTGACACAGCAGCTCTCCCCGCCTGGGTGCCCCTCCCTCGTGCTCGCCAGCCTGGGGCCTCTGCTCCCGACCTCCTCCCACCAAAGTTCAACATTTTTGCCTCTGTAAATGGTTTTTAAGTTTCTCACCCAGCCTCTCGTTTCTATCAGTTTAATTATTGAGGAGCCCTCTTGTCGCCGGCCTGGAACATTAACGCCGTTAAAAGGAACCCAGGGAACGCAGACCACAGATGACCGACTTCTCCTGGCTCAGTCCCCATCTCCCTGCCCTGCCCCTCCCTTCCCTTTCCCAACATGCCCCCTCTGTCCCCCATTCCTTCTCTCCTCCCAGGTCTCTACCCACCCCCAGTCCTATCTCTTTCTGAGCAGCCAGGGAGACTCCTGAGCCCCTGCCCCAACCCACTCATCTCTCTGTAATCTGAGGAGGCACAGATAAAACTGAGGCCTCGGCCATGTCCACAGGTGACCAGATGGGCAGACACCAGGGAACATTTGTGAGCCCCTGGCTGGCGATCCACCCTCACCCCACGAGAGACCTTTCCCCAACCTCCCCAACCAGACAGAGAGGGGTTAGCACAGAGATCACAGCACACTCCCGTGTGGGGTAACGGGACCCCAAATATCCATGTTTCCAAGAACATGTTTACCGTTCTTGGAGCCTCTTACCCCGTACCACGTGACACCTCTCCGCTCCTTGGCTCCTCTCTACTTCCCAATAAAGTGGGCACTGGCTCACCCTGGGAGATGGCAGGGAGGCATTCACTGAGGGCATAGCCCCCAGGGCCCGCCCCATCAGGCTGTTTTCTAAAACATCCAGAGTAGGGGTGGCTGGATGGCTCAGTCGGTTGAGCATCTGACTTCAGTTCAGGTCATGATCTCGTGGTCCGCGGGTTCAAACCCCCCAGTCAGGGTCTGTGCTGACAGCTCAGAGCCTGGAGCCTGCTTCGGATTCTGTGTCTCCCTCTCTCTCTGCCCCTCCCCTGCTCATGCTCTGTCTCCCTGTCTCTCAAAAGTAAATAAACATTTTAAAAAGATTAAAACATCCAGGGTCACCAGAAGTGTTTAATAAAGAGCTCCAATCAGGAAACTGCAGCAGCCCCATCTGTGGTCTGGGCTTCCCCAAGGCTGGGAGTCTAGACCCCACCCAGACAGACTGACAACGTGCGTCCGTCCCCTCTGCTGATGGCCAAAGTAGCCTCACCTCTCAGGCCTGGGGCAGGCAGGCTGAAGTGATGACTCAGCTAGCCCGAGCCATCACCATCCATCGTCAGGCCCTGGCCTGAGCAGCTGAGCCCTGCTTCCTTCTCCCCTCTGGGTCTCCACTCCTCAATGCAAAACAGGGCAGGTGGAAGGACTGGACCAGGCTCCCCATCCCCACATCATCTACCAGGAATGACCTCTGGCAGCACAGCCCCCAGGGGTTGTTCTGATTGTCTACTGCAAACTTTCCTTCATCTTAATTTTGCATTCTTCATGTTGCATCCATATGTTTGAAAATTAAGGCGCGCGTGGGTGGCTCAGTCGGTTAAGCATCCGACTTCGGCTCAGGTCATGATCTCCCAGTTCATGGGTTCGAGCCCCACATCGGGCTCTGTGCTGACAGTTAGCTCAGAGCCTGGAGCCTGTTTCAGATTCTATGTCTCCCTCTCTCTCTGACCCTCCTCTGCTCATGCTCTCTCTTGCTCTCTCTCTCTCTCTCTCTGTCTCTCAGAAATAAATACAACATTTTTTAAAAATTAAAAAAAAAAAGAAAAGAAAATTAATATAGTGTTTCCGGATGTGTTTCCATCCAGAGACACTTTCATAAAAACCAATAAGGAAAACCATCAGGTAAAACCAACACTCCAGGAAGAAGGCCCACAGGTGAGGACAGCATAGCACATGGCCCGGCAAAGTTCCAACCCCCACTCCACACCGTGGCGGGACAGCTCCAGCTTCCTTTCTTTACCACCCACCCCACCCCCATTCCCAACATGGTGGCCTTGCACACCATTCACCCCCACTTCTACCCACACTCCCAGAAATGCCCCCAAGTACTGGTGCATCATGGGACTGGGCAAATGAGCACCAGAAAAGGGTCTGGGTGAGAGAGCTCCAGCCTCAGATTTCCCACTCTGCATGGGCTCAGACAGCCTCTCAGCCCACTGTGCCCAACTCTGAGGAGGGAAGGGCCATCTCCAGAGGCTGAGAGCCTAACGCCAGGGAAAAGGAGGGACCCGGCAGCTTCCTCTGGGCTTTCCTTCCTCCTCCTTCCTCACATTTTCTTTCTCTTTCTCTCTCTCTCTGTCTCCCTCTCCCCCCCCCCCACCCCTTACACATACACACAGAGCAAACAAGGCAGGCTCCGAGAGCAGAGCGGCTCATAATTATTGGTAAAATGCTTGTAATGTTTTTCTCTCTACCCGGTAGCTTTCAGTTGTTTTAGCAGCTTAGCGAAGCACTTGGCTCCAATTGAATTGCAAATCAGCAGCTCTTGCCCCAGGAAGAGAGGAAGGGAGGTAGCAAGGAGGGGGCAGGGAAAGATTCCAGAAGGAAAGGGAGAAAGGTGTGCAAGGAAGAAGGGCAGAAGGAAGGAAACCAGCAAGGGAAGCCTAGTTCGGGGCCAAGAGCAACAGAAAGAGAGACCGCCGGCTCCTTCCAGGCCCTCTCTCCATCCCCATCCCTTCTCTGTGGGTTCCATAGCCCAGTGCCCCATCCAAAACATCAAGACACATTTTCTAACCATAATCTTGGGGTGGAGTGGGAGGGCCACACAGGGCTTCCTCAGCTACCAAAAGAAAAACGTATCTTTCTTGGGAATTGCAATTATTTGAAAACAATGTCAAAACAAAAGTCTTGCTTTTTCTCCCTGGCAATCTCCAACATTCGTATTTCCATTCTATCTATCTTTTTTTTTTACTCTATTTACCTTTCTATCGACCTATGTTTCTATGTGTCCATCTGTCTTGTCTTTGTATATATCTGTCCACCTAGCTCCTCCTCCTTTCTGTTGTTCTCTGGCACTTCCTTTTCTCCTCTTGCTTCAGCATTCCCCACGGAGGGGGGCAGTTGATCAAGGCGGCGGGTGCTGTTTCAGCACCATGGTCAGCACCACGGCGCTGGGTCCCTCCCTGACACCTCCGCTCTGACCATAGGACTGCCCCCAGATTCTCATATACTGCTCCCAGGGAAACATACTCTCTTCCCCAGAGTCTAGAAGGGAACAGAAGACAGAAGCTGGCCAGGCCTGGCACCCTGGGTGTGGAGGGTTGGGGCTGTTGGTGGAAGTACACTTCCGGGGCCAATCAGCCGGGCACTAACCTTGAAGAGGCGGAGGATGTTGGCCACCATGATGGAGACCGAGCTCCCTGAAGCACCGATGACACCCACCACACGTTCAGGTTTGGTGATGATGGGTGGGCCGCCACTGCCACAGCGGACCTCCGTGCCATCCTTCTCGATGAGCGCCTGCACAAAGGTCAGCGACTGCTCGAGGGCATGGGTGTCCCTCGAGCAGGTGTCCAGAATGCGGGCGCCCAGCGTGACGTTGGGCAGCAAGTCCGGGTCATTGTTGATGCGGTCCAGGGCAAAAAGCATGGCCTCCAGCCGGTGGATGCCCTTTTCCTTCTTAAGTTCTCCACAGGCCTTGCCCTCTGCGCCCCGGCCGTGCACGGGGAACAGGCCTCCCAGTGTGATGTCCCCATCTATGCGGATGGAATTCATGTGGGGGTGGCTCTTGGGCTTCCCCAGGGAGGAAGGCACCCAGGGGCCATAAAGGCTAAGGAGCAGGCAAAGAGGCAGCCGGGCCCACCACCAGCCCCAGCCTGTCTTCCCAGGCATCTCAGAAATCCCTAGAGACCCATGAATGGCGGGCCCCACTCCTAGCCTTGGCAGGCCCCTGGCCCCACAGCCTGGGTGAGCATGGGCAAGGCAGCCCCCACAAGTCTCTCTGGGGCAGCTTCAGCAGCAGGGTGGCCAAGGGCGGCCAACAGGGTAACCCATGCTGGTGCTCCTCGCCACTCAGGCGGTGCTCAGTTGCCGACACAGGCCATGCCCACGGGTGGCAGGGAGTGGCCGGGGAGCAGCAGAGCTCTAGTCTTGGTCCCCACGTCCTGCAGGCCTGTTCTTGACGGATGAATGTGAAAAGAGGAGAGTGCTCCTAGCTTGACGTATCTTGGCATCAAGGAGAAAGCAGCTCCAATGCTCTCCTCCTACCAACCTTAGAAGGGAGAGAGAAAGAGAGAGAGAGAGAATCAAACAGAAGCCCAATGAAGACATTAGCTATTCTGATCGCTCATCAGGAGCTTGAGAGAAGGAGATGCTGGAGGTTATCAGCACAGGCTCTACAAATCTGAACTTGGTTTTCTTGGAGCTGCTGCTCAACTTTGATTCAAGTGGGAGAGCCTGGGGCAGAAATTAAGTCACGTTTGAAGATTTCTTAAGGCCTGTACCCACTGCCATCAGAAACCCAGGCATCAGAGAGCGCGCTCCCCAGGAACAGCCTGGAACTGGCTTGGGAGGAAGAAAGGTCTTGCTCAACATTCACCCACATGAAGGAGTAGCAAGAAATCAGTTCCACAGGGCCCAACCCCACTTTAGAGATGAGGAAATTGAGGCCCAGAGCAAGAGAGCATGCATTTTGCCCAAGTCACACAGGTAGTGAGAAGCAAAACGCAGGGCAGAAGCCCAGCTTCCCAGCTGCCGGCTCCAGAACCAGAGACACTCAGGCTCCTTGGGGGACTCAGCGACCCAGAAAGCAGGTTCCGGTTCTAGCTTTGGTTCTGGATTCTCCTCCTGATTCAGGCAATGCAAATTTCACATTGCCACCCCAGGCAGAGGGCAACTCCAGGGGCTCCAGACCTCAAGATACAAGCCTCTTTTTCATGTGCTTGGCCTCCCCCCCACACACCCTCTTTCTGATGGTCTTTATCTCTCTCATTTCTCTGCTGCTCCTTCTCTCTCCCCCACTTCCTCCCTCTGAGAGTGGGGCTCAGGTTACAGCCTGAGCTACAGCACATTATTATGATCATTGTCATTATTATTGTTGTTGTGATTAAATATTTATCTGCAAGGGTAGAAGAGAGAACACCAGCTCTTCCTCATTCTCACTGCTAATTTGGGCTAATTTCCCCTGGGGTTCCTTCCTTGGCCCCAGCCTCCCGCTCAAAGCCTCCCTCCCCTCAACTTAGAAGGCCACATGGAGAAGAGCTGGAAGCTGACTCAGGGGTTGGCTGGGGGGCTGACTCCAAGGCCCCCGTCCCAATGGGTTTGTCAAATGAAGACCAGCAAGCCACGTCTATGCCTCAGTTTCCCCAGCCAGTTGAAAGAAGGGCTTGTGTTTGAATCAGGAGGTTTTCCTAGAGATGTGGTCCCTGCATCAAGGCCAAGAGGGGTCTCAGAGCCACCTGTCCCTGCTTGTAATGCCCTCCACAGGGAAATGACCGACTGCTCCAGTTCTGGGGAAAGGAGAGGGGAGAGGAGGGTACAGCACCTAAGAGTCCAGCCTCAACCCCTGGGCTTCTCTGGAAAGTGCCCTCTGGATCCTCACCTCACATCTGACCCCTCATCAAAATGCTCCCTCACCCATTAGCTCCTCCGAGGCCAAGAATACAACTATTAATTCTCATTCTGCAGGTGAACTGATAGTCCAGAGGCATCACATAACTGTCCCAGTCACACAGCAAGACGGGTCAGGACTCAAAGTCAGCACCAGTCATACTGAGAGACCTGGGGAAGCCTGAAAGAAATCTTCCTAACAACCACCCTCACCCATGAAGCTAGGATCCAGTGACCGAGCTCTGGGGGTCCATGCTTTGGAGGAAGGCTTAAGACTAAAAGCTGTTGAAGGGGGCTACACCTGTATGGAACTGTCACCCTCACCTACCCCTTCACGGGAGTAGGTTTATCAGCTCTCCTTCCTGGATGGCTATGTGGCACGAGGGGCTGTGGGGTACTAGCTGCGGACACCAGGACGAGGCAATTCAGAAAAGAGAAACTGGAGAACCCTTCAACAGCTCCCACGGCCCTGCCATCCCCTGGAAAGTTCTCAATGTCAAAACCTCTAAAATGGAAGGGGTGGAGCAGGATGCAGTCTGGTGGCCATGCTGCCCCTGCAGGCCGTCTTCAGCCGTGCCAGTGATGGGAAGGAGTCCTCTCCGGGCCTGCACCCCGCGCGCGGGACAGCCTGCTGTCGCATCCACGTGCTGTAATGCCCACGGAGAAATGACTACCAATGACAACACACTGCCAAGTGCCAGGCACTATACTAAGGGCTTTGCTGACGCTTAGCTGGGTGGTCTTCCAATCCCCACCACACAGACCAGGTAGCCAAGGCTCCGAGCCCCAGGCTGTGACCTACGGCCCAGGCCCAGGGCGGCGTGCAGGCCCATGACCCGACACCCCACCGCGCCAGCCCCAGGGTCTCTCGGGCCCTGCCCGGTCTCACGCCCTGCACGTTCAGGCCTGGTTTGCCTGAGTTAAAAGCGGAAGGACTTGTGGCGCCAGGACAGGCTGCGCGCCGAGGCCCCAGCAGGGCAGCTTCAGGCTGGAGAACTGATGAACGGCAGCTTCTGACAGTCAGGCTCTGCTCAGGCTTCCGATTCTTCGTGAGGGCTCAACACCGGCTTCTCCTTGAAGCCTCAGCACCTCTAGACTGAGTGATGTGCACACATGGGCAGGTGTCACACACGAACACATCACACACCACATACACACAACACATCATACAGAAACACACCCCCCACCTACATATGCCACACAGACACAAACATACCACGTACCCCACACACACACACACAACGGGGAAGGGCAAAGGCTGCATGGAGGAAGGAGGCCTCGGCAAGGAGAAAAGCAAATACTTGCAGGGGCCAGACTGCCCACAGGCTTCCGTCCAGCAGGACTGGGCCCAGCCCCCGCCCAGCGGGCCCCCCTCCATCCCTCAGTGCTGCCGGGTCTGCCTTTTCTGAACACCTCCAAAGAGCTGGGCAAACCACCGCCTCTTTTAGCCTCCCCTCCTTCCTTTGATCCTGTAACAGGAACAAGGGAAAAGTAAAAATACTGAGAGTGAAAGGGGCCACTGAGAGCGGAGGCTGGGGGCAGGGCAGGAGGGTAGCGAGGGGTCCTTCCATGCCCCACAGGGCGGCTCCGTTTTAGGGGAGGGGAGCTTGGAGTCCTCAGACCACCCCCCTAATTCTAAAATAGCCAGGGAAGATCATACCTCGGACCCTCTGGGGGGAGGGGATATATCACGGCCCAGATGAAGTCATCAGGAAGGCGGCAGGTCTACGCCAGCATGTGCACCCGTTCCCAGCGGGGCCTCTTATTCTATCCTCCCCTCTCCTTCCCCGCCTCTCTCCTCCAACCCCTGTATTCCCTTCCCCTCTGCCCCCTGCCAGATCTCTGGCTCCGGGCAGGCAGGGAGTGAGGAGGAGCAGAGGCAAGAACACGCAGTCATCTCCACACACAACAGATCACTGGCCAACCGCATTTTTCAGAGCAGTCTCTTCAGTGAGAGGGGAGGTGAGGACAGCAGTGGGCCCCTCCCCTCCCCCAGCGCAGCCAGCCCACCATCTGAGGGCCTCTCTGCTACCCGGGCCCTGCAGGAAGAAGAAACTCTGTCAACCTGCCTCGGGGACCCCTCCCAAGTCCTAACAAGCAGGACCCCATGCTTCCCCGCGGCTACCCTAAATCCTTCCTCCCACAACCAGGGCCTGAGCCAGGAAGAACCACAAACCACCGAACAACAACCAGATCCAAAGAGACGGACCGTGATTTACTCTGAGGTGCTTCTCACTGAGCTGCTTTTTATTCTCCCCAAACTAAGGAAATAGAATTCTCCCAAACACCAAAGTAAAGGGCAGAGTTGGAGGGACCACCCTGCGCTTTGCTGGGGTGGGGGGTGTGGAGGGGGGGCACACCTAGAGCAGTTCACTCTGCTTCCAACCCTTGAGGGGACCCTCAAGCTCTGGCTCTTCCACCCCTCCAGGCTCAGCCAGGAGACCCAGGCCCCCTGTCCTCTGCCTTCCTTTGAGCCTTGTTTCCAGAGCCGCTGGCGGCCCCTTCCCCTCAGCCTTTCCACAGTCCCTCCACTCTTTTCGTCTCTATTCACCTTTGCCTGAGCGGGGCCCAGCCCAGCCCAGGTGCTCAGAAAAGCTGGGGCTCTGTGAATGGATGAGTAGAGTCGGTTTTGAATCCCCAGAGCTGTTTAGATGCCTCACCGCCCACATCTCATATTTCCACGGGAGGGGCCTGGCAGCTCTGCTCCCAGGGGAAGAGGTGAGGGGGAACTGGAGGCCTCCCCGCTCCTTCCTCCCGCCCCAGGCCCACAGGAGCCCATGAGGACCCGAGACGCTGGACGGCAGGCCACCTCTGTGGCCACCTCTCTCCTATCCCCCCTTGGGACTCTGCACCAGCCAGGGAGAGGTGTGCTTTGCCGGACAAGCAAATGGACAAGGCTCAGACCCAGGGAGCAGATGACAGGAAGCCGCACCCCCTCCCCGCTGCACCAGCAACACCCCTGTGACAACCAGCCTGTGGGGAAAGGTGATGGCCAGCTAGCGCCCTCAAACCCCAGCAGCCCAACCGTCTCCCCGCAGGGGCCACAACTTGAGGGGATCGCGTTGAACCCATCTTGGCATCTCTGTACCCCAGCCTGGCACAGTGGAAGTTGGTGAAAGTGAATGAATGATGTGATGTGAGTGAATGGTTCTGGGCTGTTGCCACCCCCTCTCCCAGGTCATCAAGTTCAACATTAATAGAAAGAGCAGCCCTTCTCCCAGATACTCCTGGAGCCAGGCCTCGGTCTAAGAGCGAGGAAGAGGGCACAGCGGGCGGTCTGGGCC